TGTGTGTGTGTGTGTGTGTGTGTGTGTGTGTGTGCGCGCGCGTGTGCGCGCGCGTTTGTGTGTGGGGTCTGGCCAGGCTGACCAGGGTGAGGGGACATGGGCTGTTGTTGGCCGACTTGTCTGCTGGTCAAACTCCTGGTCTAGGGGACAATTTGCATATTAGCCTTTTATTATATAGGATATACACTGAGTGGCCAGATTATTATGCATTCAGAGATCATATAATAATAATCTGGCCCCTCAATGTATGCTTAACCCATGGACACAGACAATAGTGCAGGGAGGGGAAGTTGAAGGGGACCAACGGGGAAAATAAAGGGACATCTGTAATACTTGCAAAAGTAAAGATAAATTTAAAAAAAACACAGCATTTTAAGAGAAGGAAACATTTTTTTTGCAGAAAATTAGATTAGATTAAATTAGATTTTATATGTATTTGTTCATACTGTATTTCTAGACATGCATTGTCAATGCAAGAGCCACCAGCGACATGTAGCTATTGAACACTTCAAATGTGACTAGCGCAAATTGCTATGTACTGTAAGTATAAAATACACATCAGATTCTGAACTTAACATAAAAACTGTAAAATGTCCATCAATAAATGTTATATTGATTACATGTTAAATGATAATATCTGGATACCCTGGGTTAAATAAAATAAAATATATTATTAAAATTAAAAAGAAATTCCTTTTAAATTTTTCCATTACAGCTAACATTCAATATTCTTATATATGTTTCAGTTGTATTGCATAATGGTTAGACTTTTAAATAAATCATGAAGTGATTCATCTTATTTGTTTAGTTACCAACATGGCACCATACATAATTATTGCAATATTGTTGACTATAATCCATACAATGTTTTTTACATCCCTTTATTTTTTAACTACCAAGTTTTACTTCTTAATTCCATCACCTTTCTCATCCAGCCCTGAAAGTCCCCCTCTTATGCTGCAACCATCAGTTTGTTCTCCATATGAATGAGTCTGTTTCTGCTTTGTTTTTTTCTTAATTTTGTTTAGATTCCACATGTAAGTGAAATAATATGGTATTTGTCTTTTTATGACAGGCTTATTTTAGCATTATATCCTCTAGGTCCACCATGCATGCTGTCATAAATGGTAAAGCTTCATCCTTTTTATGGCTGAGTAATATTCCATTATATATATATATATATATATATATATATATATATATATATATATTTGATAAAGAAGTGAGGGGCCAGATTATTATGATCTCTGAATGCATAATAATCTGGCCACTCACTGTATATATCATTACTTCTTTATCCAATATACATATATCATCACTTCTTTATCCAACCATCCATTGATAGGTACTTAATTTTATTTCATATATTAGCAATTGTAAATAATGCTGCAGTGAACATAGGGGTACATATATCTTTTTGAATTAATGTTTAGGGGTTAATACCAGTAGGATATGTTCCCAGAAGTGGTATTGCAGTCAAAAGGCAGTTTCATTTTTAACTTTTTTTTATGAGCTTTCATACAGTTTTCTTCAGTGGCTACACCATCTACATTCCCACCAACAGTGCACTAGGGTTCCTTTTTCTGTACATCCTCACCAGCACTTATTGTTTGTAGATTTATTGATGGCATCCATTTGGCAGGTGTGATATATCTCATTGTGGTTTCAATTTGCATCTCTCTGATAATCAGTGATACTGAGTATTTTTTTCATGTCTATTGACCATTTATACATCCTATTTGGATAAATATCTATTCGTGTACTTTGATCATTTTTTAAATTGGATTGTTTGTCTTCCTGGTGTTAAGTTGTATAAGTTCTTTATAAATTCTGAATATTAATCCCTTATCAGCAGTATCTTTGGAAAATATCTTTTCCCATACAGTGGATTCCCTTTTCATTTTGTTGATAGTTTCTTTTGCTGTGCAGAAGTGTGTTTTTTTGTTTTGTTTTGTTTTAGTTTTATGTAGCCCCATATGTTTATTTTTTCTTTCTCTTGCCCTAGGAGATATGCTGCAAGAGATGCCTGAGATTTGACTCAGATTTATGTTCTCCTCTCTCTTTTTCTTAAAGAAGCCCTTTTAACATTTCCTGTAATAGTGGTTTGATGGTGATGAATTCTTTTAGATTTTTCTTGTCCAGGAAGCTCTTTTTCTCTTCTTCAGTTTTAAATGTTAGGCTTCCTGATTAGAGCAGTCTTGGTTGTTGGTCCTTCCTTTTCATTAGTTTGCATATTTCTTGCCAATCCCTCTGGCCTGTAAAATTTCTGTTGAGAAATTAGCTGATAGTCTAAAGGGAGCTCCCTTGTAGGTAACTAACCACCTTTCTCTTGATTCTTTTAAGATTTACTTTTTTAGTTTAGCTGGATTTGGCTCAGTGGTTGAGCATTGACCTATGAGCCAGGAGGTCACTATTTTATTCCAGGTCAGGGCACATGCCTGCATTCCAGGCTCAGTCAGTACCCAGTAGTGGGTGTGCAGGAGATAGATCAATGATTCTTCCTTATATTTGATGTTCCTATCTCATTCTCCCTCTTCCTACCTTTCTGAAATAAATAAAAATATTTTTAAGATGATTCTCTCTTTATCTTTAACATTTGGCATTTTAAAAATATAGTAGCACTTTATATTTATTTTTACTTGATTAATAGTAATGAGAAAGAAGAAGGGACTGAAAGATAGAGATGATAGATAGATAGATAGATAGATAGATAGATAGATAGATAGATAGAGATAGATAGATAGATAGATAGATAGATAGATAGATAGATAGATAGATACCGGTAGATAGATAATTGATTTGTTGTTCTTTATATTTATGCATATTTATGAGTTGATTCTTGTATGTGCCCTGACCCAGAATCAAACCCACAATCTTGTTGTATTGGGTTTAACTATAACCAATCTTTTTTAAAAAATGTATCTGGGTCTGAGCCTGTTTGGGTTCTTCTTTTTGGGACTCTATATTTACTGGACTTTATGCAAAACCTTACCTGTCTGAAACCTTCATCAATAATATAGTCATGCATTTTTTTGGTGCCATATCTGTTTTTTTCCTTATCTTAATTATCTTTTTTCTCTTTCTGTCATCAGGTGGGGAGTATAAAGCTTTCTATACTTGTGGGTGTTACCAATCAGTTGTTCATTTTATGCAACAGACTTTGTGGTGTACCTCAATTCCACTGTTTCACTTTTTCCAAGGAACAATGTGGTGGCCTTGGTAGTGTACATCTTGGTGGTCACCCTGTGTTGAGCTCCTTTATCTACAGTCTAAGTAATACGGATATCAAAAAGACCATACAGAAGATCCTTAGCAAAATATTCTTATTTCAATACTTGTGCCATCCATTTGAAGTGTAGGCTGGAAAATGTAGGAAAACTAAACATCAAGACTTGAAAATCCTACTTCTCTTATCACTTCACTTTTGTGTCTCTTATGGCTTTTATTCCTCTCCTTGCTTAACATCTGAATATTGCATCATTTGTGTCTTTAATAGAACTTGGAAGCATTCTAGAATTCTTTGTATATCATAATCACTGCCTGACTGAATCTTATTATATAAATGGAGACATCTGTAGTTTAACATTGGTGACTCAGGCATGCCAGAATGAGGAACAACTCTTTATATATGTAAAATTTACATCCTTTTAAAGCTCTGTGTATTTTCCATACAAATTTATCATCTACCAATCCTGTTTATGAAGGTGTGGGTGAGATGCCTTCCTTTGGTTTTCAATCTTACCTTTTATTGAAATAATCTAGTAACTGGGTCTCATCACCAGTTATCTATATCTATATATATATCTATATATATCTATATACATCTATCTATCTATCTATCTATCTATCTATCTATCTATCTATCTTTCTATCTTTCTATATCTATATCATCTATATCTATATCTATATCTATATCTATATCTATATCTATCTATATCTATATATCTAACCTATATATCTGTATCTATATCTATAGATATATATAAAAACCTAAGCAACCATCCAACCTTTTGACTAGTAGCTATGAACACAATGACCACCAGGATGCAGATGCTCAGTGCACAGGCATGTAACAGACTGATAAATCTCAGAGGGAAGGGGGGAGGGCTGGAAGAGATTAACCAAAGATCTTATATGAATATTAGAGGCCTGGTGCACGAATTCATGCACCAGTAGAGTCCCTCAGTGTAGCCTGCTGGTATTGGGCCAAAACCAATTCTCTGTCATCCCCTAAGGGGTCCTGGATTGCTAGAGGGTGTAAGCCAGGTTAAGGAACCACCTGGTGCACAAATCTGTGCACTGGGCCTCTAGTTATGATATGCAAGGGTGGGAAAAAGTAGGTTTCTAGTTGTAATTTAAATAAATAACACAATAATGAATAAATAATAATTCAAGAATAAACTCTGTTTTTCATATTCATGATTATAAAACTAAATTTTCTCTCCTCTATAATTGCTCTGGGATATGGCCGAAGCCTGAGGATTTTTAAAAACATCCTGGTGGTGGTAGTGTTCAGCTCATTTTGAGAATTACAATACAATGCATTTACAGATACCAAAATCACACAATAAGTGGTTAAATTAAAAAAAAGAGAGAAGTCTGAATTTAATGTTAAGATTCTGAAACTCGGAAGTAAGAAGCAAGGAGTACAAGTGACTTTCCTTCTTAAGGAGAGAAAGGACCAAGGTCCTCCAGGGACATTCACTTTTTTCCTTTTTTTTTTTTCTCTTCCATTAATACTAGCAAATATCCAGAGATTAGGACAACATGAAACAATTGGCTAATTAGGAAATTTGTGCAATGAGCCCTTAAGATCATAACATAGTAACTAATTGATTTCTCCAGCCCTTATGGATGCTAATTCTACTGTAGGGCTATATATCTGCCTCCTTTCTTTGTGGCATATGCATCAGAAGGTCTCAGCCTGTGTCTGTTTTCTTGTCCTTGCTTGTCACACACAAGACAGGAGACGGTGGCAGATCCATCGATACTCCTTGTTCATGCTCCAGCAGAGATGCAACCCAGCCCAGTAAGTGCTATGGGAGATGGTGATTGAATAAGGAATGATAAGAATGGATAGATGAAAGGGTACCAATATGCAAAATTTCAGATCAGGGACCTATGAAGTTTGTGTTCTTGGTTCTGGTGGGGGTGTAAGACTTTCAGAGTTCACCTTTCATCCTCATTGGTTCTGGATCTGGTTGGCATCTTCCTCAACATAGCAGAAAGTGAATCTCTCTAAACCTGCCCCTAAGCACCCAAAATGATCATGAAAGTGATGACGAGAAGGGTGACATTAACCATAACATCAAGCACTTTTATTGGGTGCTTCCTAAGTGCTAGGCTCTGAAATATGTGTTATATATATTTTGTTTGGTTTCATTTGTATAATCTCTTCTGAATTATAAATGCAAACATTATTATTTTTTTACATAAAAAGAAAGGAGCATAGCATTTTATGTAACTGGAAACAGATCATGAGTTAGTAAGAACTGAAGTCAGGTTTGTATCTGGGCAGTCTGACTCCAGACTTAATACATCTGGCCACTTTGGAGAGCAGTAGGTCACATTTGTTGCATCAATTATAAAAAGGATGGCTGAGACCACTTGCAAAGGTTGTAGAAAGAATTGGCACATGATAATTAGGGCGGATAATTTGGTTCCTGTCTTGTCCTTGCTCCTGGATTTCACATCAACTGTCCACTTCTTTCTTCATTCTTATAACCAACCTACTCAATTTCAAAAAGAGACAAAGTCAGAGTCTTTTTAAAATATATTTTTATTAATTTCAGAGAATAAGGAAGAGCGATAGAAACATCATTGGTGAAAGAGAATCATTGATTAGCTGCCTTCTGCATGCCCCCTACTGGGGATTGAGCCTGCAACCTTGGCATGTACCCTTGAGATCCTTCAGTCTTCAGGCCAATGCTCTATCCACTGAGCAAAACTGACTAGGACCAAAGTTAGAATCTTTGTTTCCATTCCTATTCAGGATACTCAAATCAGTTCAAAATGTACCTCAGAGATACCTGTGGTTAAGATCTCTGTGCCTCAGCTTAAAATTCTAGAAAGTTGGGGCACAATGAAGTTTAGTGCATGAGACTTGAGAGGATGATCATTTAATTTTTAATTCCTTCTGCTCTACTTATTATTAGTGTGCTACTGGGAAAGTTCTTAATGTCTTCGTAATGTGGGATTGTCCTCCTTATTGATTCCCAGTTGATACAACTTCACTGAATAAGGGTTAAACAAATAATTGATGCCCTCTATGTAATAAATATATTATGGATGCATATAGTAAGAGTGAGCGAACTATGGTTTCCCTACATCCCTCATATGACCTTTCATTTTTGTTTTTACAAGTATATCTTTAGTATATTGAGGGAAGTGACCGAGTGTCATTTATTTCTGATACCCCACCCAAAACCTATAATTTGTGGGCAGACAGGAGGCATAAAAAATGAACCAAAAATATCACTTAAATATTGATTAGACTCTTCCGTTGTTTATAGAAACAAAGTGGCCAATATGAATTCCCCGCATTTGACCATCCATGCCAGTGTATCCTTTGTCCATTTCTAGAATGTTTCATAGGAATAGAGAGAAGATAAAATAATGTTTATTTGTGTCTATGTCATGGGATTTTTATGACACCTGCTAATTTCCATTTAATACTACTTATCAAATTCAAATATTGAATATCAAGGGTTTTTTCATAATTATTTTAAAAAGCAGCAGGAAAGAAGGGGGAAGTAAAGGTTATTGCTGAACTGAGGTACATTTCAGGAGAGGCTTCACCTTTTTCACCATAAAATGGCATTACATTTTTGGAATTGCATTTTATTAGCAAGCACACTATCCTAATAATGATTTATATCCTTTGTTAAAAAATGATCAAACCTTACTTGACTTCCAAATGTCCCTTAGATGCCACACTGGGTCTAGAAATGAATGTTAGACTGGCCATTTCCAAGAAGGAACACAAGTACAGAGATTCTGAGATTTCCACACACTCCACATGGAGGGAGTGAAAGATTCAGGACTCAAAATCAATCTCCTTATTCCGGCAGTGTCACCTCCACGTTAGCTAAGGAGTGGTTCTTTCAAACCTACTTGGTCCCCAATGGAAAGGGAGGGAGAAGAACTGATTCACTCCCTTTTGGTTCAGTGTGTTCACCTGTGAGTTAGGAAATGTGTCAGTGATTTACAGGGGCCATAATGTCACAAATAATTGTGGATTTTATGGTTTTGTATATACAGTCCAATTTTGAAATCTAAAATGGAAAATAAATTGCTATGAAGATGAAAATTTCATGTGGAGCTCTCATGGAATGATTATTATGATACAGATTTCAAAAATACTTTCAAATGCATACCCTTATATAAAAGGATGTAGTTAATAGAAAATGCTTTTTATATTGGAACAAGAAATATTGCACATGTACCAAATTGTTGGGAGCACAAGAAACTTGGTTGGAAAGTTGTCAGGAGGACCTCCTGATAAAAGGGAAGTGTGTGGAAGGCCACCTGACCTGTTTATCAGAATTCCTACATAGGGATTATAATCAGAAAAACAAAACTAACAGTCCTATATGAAAAGCTGCTAAACATCATTATCCATCAGGGAAATGCAAATAAAAATCACAAAAGTACATAATCACACACCTATCAGAATGGCTATTATAAAAAAGAAAAGTCTTTTATGCGGTACCTAATCTATACAATAAAATGATGAACAAAATATATCCAGAGTCATATAAACATAGAACAGACTGATGAAACTTGGAAGGAAGGTAGTGGTGGGTGGAGAGAGATTAACCAAATAATTTATATGCATAACCCATGGATATAGACAACTGTGTAGTGAAGGCCTGGGGAGGGGGATAGGGGTCTAGAGTCGAGGGGAAAAGGGTGACATTTGTTTGTAATACTTTCAACAATAAGGATAAATTAAGGGAAAAAAATACACATGTTGGAGAGGATGTGGAGAAAAGGGAACCCTGGAACCCTGATGATGTGAATAAATATCCCTACAGGCATTATAATAAATAATATGGAAGTTCCTCAAAATTTTTTAAACTAATACTAACTGAAAAAAGAACTTGCAAATGACTTAAAGAACAACTATCATGCTTGAGTAATAACATTTCTATGAAGGAGAGACCGAAAACCAAAGAATGGTAAAAATTCTGAAGATAGCAATCACAAAAAACATTTTCTGATTATGAACATTGAACTTTCATTTAGAATCCAGATTATACAATCCTATCATTTATACAGTATTGAAAATACTCTAAATAAAGGAACTATCTAGCTAGGATTGTAGTTGAATAAAAGAAGGTATATTTAGCTACTGCTTAATTTTTTAAAATTGGAATGATTTTTTTTTCTTAAAGGGGGATGGGTATTTCTCATTCTATATATATTTTAAAGAAGTAGCTGTGATTTCTGTGATTATGTCTTTGTTATCTCTAATGTTCCTGCTCCTCTGATACTTTTCAATGGAGAATCTGGACAGTAAAGTGTATATAGAAAGAGGTGAATAATATGGAACCAATAAAGAAAGACAATAGTGTGGTGAAGGCCTGGGTATAGGGGCAGGGGGTGCTGGTAGGGTCAATGTTTGGGAGGGGGGAAGGGTACATCTGTAATTCTATCAACCATAAAAATAAGAAAATAAAAAAAACAATATTTATCATACTGAGAAATATTGATAAAGGTACTGGGACATATGAACTTATGGGTGAATGGCTTAAATACAGAACATGGTTACAATGCTGTGTGCTCATTTACTTATTTTCCTTTTCCCAATCCTCTTCTAAAGGTGTCCTGGCTACATAGAACAACAAAATCTAACACGTGTCTCACAATTCTTCCTCCTGGGTCTCTCCGATGACCTGGAACTGCAGCCTTTGCTCTTGGGGCTCTTCCTGTCCATGTACCTGGTTGCCATGTTGGGGAACATGCTCATCATCCTGACTGTCAGCTCTGACTCCCACCTCCACACCCCCATGTACTTCTTCCTCTGCAGCCTGTCCTTGGCTGACATTGGTTTCATTTCTACCACTGTTCCAAAGATGATTGTGGGCATCCAGACTCACAGCAGAGTCATCTCCTATGGGGGCTGCCTGACACAGATGTCTTTCTTGATCCTTTTTGGATGTATGGATGGCATGCTTTTGACTGTCATGGCCTATGACCGGTTTGTGGCCATCTGTCATCCTCTGCACTATTCAGCCATCATGAGCCCATGCCTCTGCTGCTTCTTAGTTTTCATGTCATTTCTCATCAGCCTTTTGGACTCCCAGATGCATACTTTAATTGTGTTACAACTTACCTGCTTCAAAGATGTAAACATTTCTAATTTCTTCTGTGATCCTTCTCAACTTCTTCATCTTGCCTGCTCTGACACCTTTACCAATAACATAGTCATGTATTTTGTTGGCGCCATTTCTGGTTTTCTCCCTATCTCAGGGATATTTTTCTCTTACTATAAAATTGTTTCCTCCATCCTGAGAGTTCCATTGATAGGTGGGAAGTATAAAGCCTTCTCCACCTGTGGTTCTCACCTGTCAGTTGTTTGCTTATTTTATGGAACAGCTATTGGAAGTTACCTTGGATCAGCACTGTTGCCTTCCCCCAGGAAGGATGTGGTGCCTTCTGTCATGTACACTATGGTCACTCCCATGCTGAACCCCTTCATTTACAGTCTGAGGAATAGGGACATTAAGAGTGCCCTATGGAGGCTCTACAGCAGAACAGACTACTCTTAACATCTCTACAGTTTTTTTTTTGGAGTGTAGTTGGAAAATCTAGCAAAACCAAACTTTTAGCCCAGTGAACACTGTTTCCTCAGTCATACTGTGTTTAGTCTCATGGTTTTCATTTCTCTCCATGCTTCACATATGAACTTTACTTCTTTTGAATTGAATTGGCAGAGTAACCTGGGATCCTTTGTACATTATCATAATTGCATAATGAATGCATTGACTCTTATATCCAGTTGAAATGTACAATTCTCTTCATAAATATTTAAATGTTACATCTCTCCCCACGGTTTTGTCGCATTTTCCATACACATTTGCATCTGCCAAGTCTAGGTAATCAGGTAATTTCTGAGGATGCTGTTCACTGATTTTTAATTGTGAATTTTATTGGGACCCTCTGGGGAGTTTTATAAATACTGATGACTCAGTCAGTTGGAGGCATTCATCAAGATGTGACTGCCAGTGGACCCAAGAACTGGACCTAGGGAATCAGGGATTCATCCCCTTGCCCTGTCCTTTGAATGTTCATTTTACTTTCTTACCCTTCTCTAGAAGCTGCCCCAAGGATATACCCTTGAGCTAGTTATGTTTTGTTGAGACCATCTAGATGTTATACATCACTGAACCCAGTTCAGGCCTTTATTGTATATAAACTTTTAAAATTTGGTGGCCAGGTACGTAGATACATATTTCTTGTGGCCACCCAGACAAGCCTTTCATATAAATTCACTAGTTTATAAAAAGTGCCACCTCCCAGTTTGTAATGAGCTTTCTTTGGTCTCTTCCTGCCTTGCATCCATGGGGGCTGGTTCAGATTTCACCTGGAAGTTCCTTAGACTGAGAACCAATGGAGTCTCCCACGTCAAGTATTAGTTGCCTGTGAATGCAGTAGTTTATTTCTGAGCTCTTGATTCTGTACCATTGGTCTCTGTCCATTTTTAATTAATTATACAGCCCATGGTGGCTATCCCTGCTCTTCTTTGCTTTTAGATGTATCTTTATATCTAAGCATTGGCAATCTTTGGGTGGAGTGAAATAAAACACTAAAAGGCTTGGTAAACTAGCTGCTTGCTCTACTCTCCATTCTTCCACCAGCTTACCAACTCTTTCTAGCTTGAAGTTGCCTGTTGTTACCCAGTAGTGAGGACTGGGTGATGACATGATGTAGGAATCATAAAGCTGGTCTTTGCTTCATTTTGTGTGGTTATTTTCAGGGGTTTTGTTCCACTGTGTTGCTGATATTCCATAAGTGGACTCTTGAGCTCTCCCAGATCTGTTTTTGTTCATGGATCTGACTGTTTATCTTTATGGGGCAAGAGAGACTGGTGTCTCCTATATGACCAACTTGTTTTTCCCACATATTCTTTTTATGAGTTTATGACAGACCAATCTCTAAATTCCCCCACCAGAGTTTTTAAAGGCAGAAGGACTGCATGCGTATGATGTAGGAGGTGGTCAAGTACCATCATTTCCTTACTCACTTTACCAATTGGAAAAAAATGAAAGAAATAGGCCCCAAAGACACATAAATTTTAGGATCTGTGGACACAAAGCTAAAGAAAAATTAATAGGTTAAGCCATTCTCAATGACAGAAATCAGAAGCTATTGGAGATATTTGTTGAATGTGGGCACAGAATGGCTGAAGATTGATGTGAGGGACCCTGGTGATGGAAGAAAAACCAGGTTGGCTTTTTTTGACTGTTTGTCCTGAGGGAATATGGTGGGGTTTACAGAAATACCAAAACAGAACCAATTTATACTCATGTGTCAGTTTATCTGCCAGACATTTTGCTGAGAGTATTGTGGTGTGATGGGTTGTGGGCTATCCGGGAAGCAGAGTCATCTCTCCAGAGTTGTGCTGCTTAGAGTCCAATGTTCTGATAGAGGGTGAGGCCTGCATGGTGGGCAGATTCCAATATGCTCCCAATGATATCCGCTCCTGTATTCAAGCTGTTGTAGAAACCCATCCTCTTGAATGTGTCTTAGGCCTAGTGACTGGCTTCCAACCAACACAACATGGCAAAACTGATGAGATGTCACTTCTGATATTAGGGTACAAAAAGGCTTTATATTTCTGGCCCTTGTCTCTTGTAGCCTGTCCTAATGGAAGCCATAGCCATGCATGAGCTTCTCTGTGAGAGGCCCATTAGTAGAGAACTAAGCAAGGTGTCTAGCCAACAGCCCACAAGGAACTCCCTCCTTCCAAAAGTGAGTGTGATTGGAAATAGATCAACTCAAGGTACCCAACAAGACTGCAGTCCTTGCATTCTTGGTGGGTACCCTGCTTAATTTAAGAGAAAGTAAGTAGTATTTTAGTGTACCCAAAACATCAATGAACAAAAAAAAATCAGAACTTGGACTGTCATTTAAATAAACAAAAAAAATCCCTTACTTGACTTGGGATTCTGCACACACAATACAATATACAATTGACATATTATAGAATAGTATATTTGAAACCAACATAATTGTACTAATCAGTGTCATCCCCAATAGGTTCAAGAAAAAAAGAAAAGAAAAAAGAAGTGAAAAAAAGAGATCAGAAATGCATAGTGCTGCAAAGAGCACCTTGCACAGAGTAAACACCAATATACAATACTTATGTATATTAAAAATAAAACCTAAAAAAGATAAATAGAATTTTCCTTTTAAAGACAGAATATTTAACAAAGAAAATAAAAATAGTTGTAGTTTCTTGTTAGAGAAGACCTAATTGTCCCTAATTTTCATGATTAATACAATGATTTTGCAAATGTCAAACTCAAAAAGTCATAAACTGAAAAGAGTCTGCATTCTATGTTAAGATTTTTGAAATTGGAAGTCAGAAGTAAAGTGTACAGATGTGATTTTTCCTGAAAAGAGGGAAATCTCAGACCCTCCTAAGTACATTCACTATTCTCTTTTTTCTCTTTGTTAATATTAGGAAGTCCTCAGTGGTTAGGAAAACAATGGACCAATTTCACTAATTAAGAGCTTTGTGTATTAAACGTTCAAGGCTATACAGGCTGGCAGCCCCAGTTAAGAGTCATTTGTGTGGCTCTTTCTCTCAGAATTAGGACCTGCTTCAGGAAATCCATGACTGAGTCTGTCTTCATATCAGTCCTGAGAACAGAGCCTCAGCCTTCTCATTACCAGGCAGGAGAGGGCAGTGAATCCAAAGTCCTAAGTCATGACTCAGCAGAGAGACAGCACAAACCAGTGAGTAGCAAGGGATATGGTGGATGGTGGGGAAATTATGGGGAAACTTGTTTCTTCATTAGCAAGGCAGCAGGAAAGCTGAGATAGCCAGATGGAAGGGCATCAGTAAGCAAAGTTACAGCTCCGAGGCCTGTGAAGTTTATGTTATTCTTTCCATTAGGGATTTTAGAACTCTCATTCAGAATTCTGCTCTTTTCCTCTATCATTTCTACCTTTCAAAGGCATTGTCCATACCAGAGCGGGACCAGACCTCTCATTTCATAAGCTTTCCAGTATGATCATGAATGCTATAGTTATGATCATGATGGTAATGGGGAGAGTAACCATAATATCACAAAATACAACTGAGGGTTTCCTTGTGCCAGATTCGGAGCTGTCTTATGTAGCTTCCATTTTCAATTCCATAATACCCTCATTATCAGGGTATACAACTATTGTTATTTTAGAGTTGAGGATAGAAGCAAAATATTCTATTCAATTTGTACCCAAGTCCTTGGGTAAAAAGGGAGGAGTGGGATTTTGATCTGAGCAGTGTGACACAGCATGCAAAATAATGTCTTTCCATACAATTTAGGTTCACATCACTTTTGCGCTCTTGAAATGTGGTTAGTCCAAACGGAAATGTGCTGTCCTTAGATTACTAAAACACCGGATTTTGAACACGTATAGGAAAAGACTATAAAATATCTCAATTTTGTATATTGATAAAACTAAGTTTTTGGTAAAATGGGTTAAATCAAATATGAAAATTAAAATAAACCCCTCAAAAACCTTCAGGCCAATCTACTTAGTCTATCTTTTCTTTTTACAGGTCACCCCAGGCAGCATGCCTGTGGGGAAGTAGCTGAGTCCCATTTATTTCTGATTGCCCAGCACCCACACTGTGCTTGGCACAGAGTAGGCAACACAAACAAAACATATACACACACTGTGAAATACTGATTACATGTTGTTAGTGTACAATAACACAGCATCTCCATAAGCTGACACACACTGGCAGATTTTGAGCCTGGGCTTTCATCACTTCTGGGGATATCTTGTGACTAAAGAAATGAATAATATTCATCATTTCTTCCAAGCATCTTTTCCAGAATGGCTAATTGAAACTGATGATGGGGCTTTGAGAACTTCTGATTTATAGCTAAGTTGTCTGAAGATTGTTTTATTTTGTTTCTTTATTTTACTCTTTAGATTCTGCAGACAAGTGAAATCATATGGTATTTGTCTAACTCTGTCTGACTTATTTCCTTTAGTATAATACCCTCTAGGTCCATCTATTCTGTCACAAAAGGTGAGATATCATTCTTTTTTGCACACACAAAAAATGGGCTCATATAGTTTATTGCATACTTCTTGACTATTGTAAATAACGCTGCAATAAATATAGAGGTATGCATACTCGTTGAAATTAGTGTTTCAAGTTTATTCAGAGATATTCTCTGAAGTGAAATTGTTGAGTCATGAGACAATTTAATTTTTTAGGAACTTCCACAATATTTCCATAGTGGTTGCAGCAATCTATATTCCCACCAATAATGAACTAGGGTTTCTTTTTCTCCACATCCTTACCAACAGCCTTTCTTAACAACTAGTCTGTGAGCAGAAGGAGAAGAGAGAGAAATTGTTTAAAAACTATTAGTAGCCAAACATCACACACACACACAAAAAAAAAATGGACTCAGATAGTTTATTACATAGTTTCTATACTGTGCTTATAAATATTACAAATCAAAGGAATTAATCACACTGTGCTTGGATAAAATAAAGTACATTTAACTGCTTGTTAATGTCCTTGAAATAATAAGGA